TACAGGTACAACGCTCTCGGTGAATACCTATTAAAGTTTTCAAAGACCTTTAGTTATTACAGAGGTCTTTTTCATTTACAAAAAAAAAAAAGCAATAGGAAAAAATACATAACAAAACACTTTTAAATATGAAAAGGGCTCACTCCAGCCATCAGGTGTGCACAAATCCTGTTTAGGGCTTTTTCCTTTGAACTTGGTTTTATACCTTTCAGGCTTACCTTCTCCTTTTTGTGGCAATGAGGCTTAGATCTTCCTTGTCGTGGAATTCCCCATTCAGGATGTGATTCTGGCCATTTTTCACAAACTAGTAATTCTCAGTATGAGGCTCAAGAAACATCACTTGAATTAAAGAAATTTCAACTAAATACACAGGAAAATTCAAAGCATAACAAAAAAAATATTGTCTTAAAGCATTTCATTTTGGGTCATATTGTCAGTGTTTATTGATAAAGTCTATTGATAAAGACTGTATTGCCTTTATCAGGGACTTTCATATTTTATTGTTGCTATTGCTGTTTTTATTACTATTACTATTATTATTATTATCATCATCATCATAATATGCATACCCTATATCCATGTGTCTTGAAAATTTATTAAGCTTATCCTATGGATATTAGCACTGAAGCCTGGTGGAAAAATTTAGAATGTGTGCAGAACTCCTGTGGCTAAATACAGGTTTATGTGTGTAATGTGTACATGAATACATGTTCTATTAATTCAAGTTTCACTTTTCTTTAAAAAATGCATTTTTATTTACAACTTATTAGAACACCCTTCTGCCTCCATGTTACTGAAGTCAGAATTAAACAGACAGATAGACAAGGGTCGATCCAGAGAATGGAGGGACTGAAATGTTAATTCCTTCAGAGCCCTTCCTCCACCCTTATCACCATAACCTGCCCCTGCTCAAACCTGTTGCTAAGGTAACCTGCCCTAGGGATTGTCTATCCCTATAAGGAGTTATAAAAGTTGTTAATTATGTCCCCTTCCTGCCAGATCACTTCACCTTGGCCCTCTCAGCCCATCTGCTTCTCACCTTTTGACCATCCCACCTCCTGGCCCTAGGAGATAGATAAGGGGGAGAGAAAAGGAGAACAAAGGAAGCCAAGGACATATAAAAAGGCAGAATGCTCTCACTTCTTGGGATACCAGGATACCAGCTATGGCCCCCTTCTCCCTCCTGGGAGAAGTCTTTGTTACCCCCTTCTTAAATAAAGCCTGCTTTATATGCGTGCCTCCCCTTGTTTCTCTATTGTTATACTTCAGCATGTGAGGAAGCAAGACTCATCACTGAAAACCAGTAGTATATTACCAATTCTGATTTTAAAAAATCACAAAAAGGAAGATTTTTCCTGATAATACTGGGGGGCGGGGATCCACAATAAAACATTTTTGCAGGTCCTGTCTAAACCCTGTCTGAGAGTTAGTCAATGGGAGATGGAATACTAAAATGAGCCTGAGAATTAGACAAACAGACCATAAGTTTAGTTTGGGATATGTTGCATTGAATCTAATTTGAGGTCTCCAAGATGATTTTTCAAATAGACGATAAAATACATGGGTTTGAATGGGTTTCATAGCATACTAGTGCTGAATTCAGAGTATTTTTGAAGATTAAACCTAAATTGCTTTTCATGTGTATCTTGCAATCTAATGAGATTTGTCATAATAACGACTTTCAATATCATGTGCTTTCTGACTTCATATTTCATGAACTTAGTTTACACCCTTTCAATGTGTATGTGGACACTAAAATAAGCTTATGATTTACTCTATATTTTTAATTTTAAAAATTATGTAGTCATGTGTTGCTTAATAATGAGGACACAATGAGTAATTTAACCAGTTCTGTGTGACACACTTTGCAAATAGAGACTAAGAAACAAGTTTATCAAAGGATGCTACAGGATGGTAGAGTGATAGAACTATTAAGGAACACAGCATGGAGCTTCCTCAAAACAGTTAAAAGTAGACTTGCTATGTGATATGTTAATCCTGCTTCTGGATATATGACAAAAGGAGATGAAATCAGGATCTGGAGTACTTGTGTGCATTCCTGGTTCATTTATAGCATTGCTCACAACAACAAGGTCCACCAGTGGATGAATGGATAAAGAAAGGTGTGGTGTGGTGTGTGTGTGTGTGTGTGTGTGTTATCCAACCTTAAAAGATGGAAATCCTTTTCTTTGTGACAACAAAACAATATGCCTGGAGGACATTATATTAAGTGAAAAGTCAGACACAGAATGACAAATACTGCCTCATCTCACCTACATGTGAAATCTAAATAAAAGTCCAACTCATAGTAACAGAAAATAGAACAGAGGTTGTCAGGTACCTGAGATGGAAGGGAGTCTTACTGAAAAAACCCAAGATTTAAAATGTAAGGTGAATAAACTTTAAATACTTAATAAGATACTTTAAGGGGTTGAGGAAATAGCTGAGTTGGTAGAGTGCTTGCCTAGAATGCACAAAGCCCTGAGTACAATCCCTACCACCACCACCAAAAAAAAAAAAAAAAAGAGACTTAATAAGTGACTACAGCTAAAAATAATGTATATTTGAAATTTTCTAAGAGCATACAACATAAGTATACTCAAAAAAAGAAATGCTAAATGAATTCTGCAATGGATTAATTAACATTATTGGAAGGATCATTTTATTATGTATAAATCTTATCAAAAATCATATTATGCCTCTTATACACATATAATTTTTTAAAAAATATTTATTTATTTTTTAGTTTTCGCCAGACAATATCTTTGTATGTGGTGCTGAGGATCGAACCCGGGCCGCATGCATGCCAGGCAAGCGCTACCACTTGAGCCACATCCCCATCCCATATACACATATAATGTTCTCATTATGTTCAGACTTAAAAAAGAATAGTGGAGTGAGGGACAAGGTGTAGCAGAGTGGAATAAAGAAACTATAAAACAACTAAGGGAACAGCAGTGCTAGTCCTGGGAAAGAGAGAACACAATCAGACATGATGCCCATTTGAATATATTTGGAAAAAAAAAAAACTCAATGCTCACCAATTCTCTTTATCTGAAGTTTTGAAAATTTTACTGATTGCTTATATGGTTCTTAATTAAAACTTCTTTCTACTTTCTACCTACTTTCTTCATTATAAAAATAGTGAGAAAATCCTGTCCCTAAATGAAGCTAAGTCAAAATCAATTCACTGATTAATATCTATATAATATCTATAAGATGTAGAGAATTACAACAAATGAGAAATTGAAAATGCATTAGAGAGTTGTTCTCTTTGCTCTAAAAAATAATGGTAATTAAAGAGATATTTTGTTCTAACATTGTAACCTTATTTTAAATTTGTTACCTTTAGTAAGAAATTATGACAAACTATTTCCCATCATTTATAGAAATTTAGAATTTTGCTTAATAGACAAATGTTGGCTGCCTTGTTTCATACCAGTGTAGATTTGTCTTCTCCAGAGATGCAGAAATTCATTGCTAAAGCTCTCAGGAGGTAACCAGGGAGTTTACAGCTCAGAGATGAGAGGTAGTCACATGGGAAAAGGTGATTTTTTTTTTTTTAACAAAACTTTAACTATTCACTGTGAGAGAGAGAGAGGGCCAGGGTAACTGTGAGCTTTCAGACTAGCAGGAGTTGTTGGATGGTTAAGAAGAGTTAGTAAATGGGAGATGGGATACTGAAATGTGCCTGAGAATTAGACAAACAGATCATAAGTTTAGTTTGGGATATGTTGCACTGAATCTAATTTGAGAACTCCAAGATGATTTTTCAAATAAGTTTGAAGCTGTGAAAAGTGATCAAAGCTAGAGATTCCCTCTGGGAGTCATCATATGTGTGTAATCATTGAAGGCTAGGGAAGAGCCTTCTTCAGGCTGTGCCTTGAAGAGCTCCATCATAGAGTCAGACAGAGAGAAGCATCTTAGAGTGGAAAAAAAAAGGAGTGGAAATGAGATGGTGGAAAACCAAGGCCAAATATTGAGTGTTTCCAAAGTCAAGAAAAATGATAGTTTTAAAGATGAAGTTATGATTGTGTCAGCCACCAGTGAGACATCAAACAAGAACACAATATGAAGAATAGATTCATTTATGTTTATAGAAGTTTCCAAGCTTTGCTTTTGGAGAAATTTAGTTCTACTTTATGGATTCCTAAATCTCAGAATTACAGGAAGGGTTGAGATTTTTAACCTCCTAGGATCATCAAACCCAGAACGATGTAAAGTACTATAGTTTCCACATGTGGAAAGTGACATTTTTAAGTTATGATTTTACCCAATACTTTAAATTAGATTTAATTGGTCCCCACAGTGATCGTGCGGATTTCTTCTTGAAAATGTAGAGTGAGATGAATGTGATATTTCTAAAAGTTCTTTATGAATTTTGATAAAGACAAAAACAATTTTTAATAGTGTGTGTATGAAAAAGAGGAGGAGAAAGTTTCAAGAATGATAGAAAACAAAGGCATTATATGAAAACTCAAATTTATCTTTATTCATCTATTTGTTGTGATGTATGGGGTTGTAATGAAATATCTTACTTAATTCCTCATACTCAATGGTACAAAACATTGCTTTTTTAAATAAATGATACTGGAACAACCATTTTTCTTTGTTTAAAAAATATTTTTATTAGTTATTGATGAACTTTTATTTGTTTATATGTGGTGTTGAGAATTGAACCCAGTGCTTCACATATACTAGGCCAGTGCTCTACCACTGAGCCACAACCCCAGCCAACTCAACACATTGCTTTTTAAATAGTAAAAAAAGAAGATGCAAACTTGATTCAGAAAAGCCAAAATTTATATTTAAAGCAATAAAAAATTGACATTTATCTTTGAAAGAAATACTGGATGACTTTTTCAAGTAAATAAAAAAAATTAATAATTTAAAAAGTTTTGATCTTTCTATTTATATGGTGCATTTCTTGATTCTCTTGCTTTGCTTTCATTTATTATTAGAATAATAATGTAAAAAATTTTTTTTTGTTTACCCCATAGGACAACTCTCTGATGCAATAGGGAGAAGAGGGGAAGAGAGCTACAGTATTTGAAAATGTGCCTGAAGCAAGAACAGAGCTGGATACTCTATTACAGACATCTACAATATACACATGAGGTTAGACATCATTCCCCTCATCTTACAGGTACAGAGAGTCATATAGATTATGTATGCAATCCTCCTGTTCCAGGGTAAGCTATGAGTAGATGTTTTCACACCTCTGAGCCCAAGTCCTCCCTGCTCACACTGTATCATGTTTCCCATGCAGAGAGGTTCAAGGTTGCCTGGGAGAATGTTCTGTGTCTCAAACATGATTTGCTTACCTGCTGGGGAAGTTCCAGTTCTTCTCTATGAGGCATAAATGCATATTCTTATTTAAACCCAAAGAGAAAAGACATTTAGGTAAAAAATTATGACATTAATTTAAATTGTCTTTTATATTAGATTATAATAAGATAGAGAAATAAAACCTTACTGGGCATCCAAGAGGAACAAAACAGGAAACGAGAAGAAGAACCTATCAAGAAAGACCTGAAATATCAAAAATTTCCTCATAACTTTGCCTCTAGTCAACATTTCCGAAGGAAGAGTCACTGTGTTGTGATGGAACGTTCCTTCCAGCTGAAACAATAGTAAATTAGTACTAATATTGTTTTTCCCTCACATAGGGTCCAAAATAATAGTTCTCCATTTCTGAAGCTATAACTATAACCCAGGAAATAATGAGAACTCCTGGGTAAGTTTTCTTTATGCAGTTATATTAATCCAGGAACACGATCCACTGATTAACTCTAAAACTAACTTTTTTTCAAGGCCATGATAAAAAAAATAAATAAATTTGAATAAAAGAGCAGAATAGTTCAGATAATGCCAGTTTTAGCTACAGCCTTTTTCATAATTTCCTAAATAGGACCTTTAGAAATAATCACCTTCTACCTAGCAAAATTCGATTCATAAATTAACAGATTCAGCCCCACAGGTAAATATAAAACAAAAACAAGCAGCTACAAACTGCATGACAACAGGTCCCAAATGTGTGACCAGTTCTGAGCTACAGTACACTGCTCTTTCTTGAATGTGGCAGGGCTTTTCCATGAGGAGAACACTGCATCCTTAAAGTGATCTCCATGTTGTTTTAAAACAGTCTCACAATGGAAGTCTAAGAAGCTGCAGTGTCAGATACCTGATTGAATGGAGCATCTTCAATGATCTCAGAGTGATGACCCCAGGTTTGTTCTACTAGGTAATCTGAACTCAGGACTTTGCTTTTTCTTCATGAAGCTTTGCCCCACATAGAACAAGAAATGAGGGCTTAAGGGGACCTGGATTCTTCCTAAGGCATTGCATATGCTTGGGAACAAGGCTATCTTTTCTCTGTGGCAGAGCCAGTCAGAGGCCAGAACCACAGTGCTGCTATTAGACCTCTGTAGAGATGGCAGCATTTGTATAAATGCCTTGGTTTTACTGAAACATTTCACATGCTTTTTAGAAATTATTAAATAAATCACTCAGATTTCTTTTTTTTTTTTTTTTTTTGAATGATTCTTTTTCTTTCCCTCTGAGTTAAGGTTTTATTTCATTGTAGAACCTTGTGAATATGAAAAAATAAAGGACTAAAAAATGAAATATCTTAATACATTCAGTTATTTAATGAATGTGTAATGTGAATTTGTTAAGTGCAGGACATGCCTCTAAATTTCTAGAACCTTATGTCTAGGAAGAGAGATAATCTTCATTCAAAATGGCTACAATATAAGGTCATATGTAAGTTCCAAAATGGGGTACAAAGAAAATGTCAAAGGACTTCTGAGAAGTGATTGTACTGATGACCAAATTATTCAAGAAAAACAAATGTCTATTTTCTGTTGGCAAGGTAGAACACTTTCTGCTCTCTTCTGTCATTCCTTTGTATGAAAAGCAGGAGGCTAGAAAAGGAGAAGCTACCTGTGCCTAAAGCCCTTGCTGGCAAGGTTTTGGGTTGAACTTTGTCAATGACAGCACTTACACACAATTTGGAGAAAAGTGAGATGCAAAGCTATGTTATTGTTCTTTTGACAGGAGTAAACCAGTGTGTGACTTACCTGTAATATAGTTGAGATTTTTAGTGACTTTCGACATTTCCCCAAGAATTACCTGTTTTTGTTCTCCAGCTGGGAACTTGGAGGGTCATTCCTATGGTTGCTTAAACTTCCTGATTCCATGAATATTAATAGCAAAGCAAAGAACTAGCCATAGTTTTCTCTGACTTTAACTTCCTGTAGTCTTTTCAACACATTTGTGTGTCCTTTCCTACCTAAAATTCTTACACAGGGAGATACAGCTGAACCCATAGCAGTGAGGAGGGTTTGCATGTCAGATGATCAGAAGCAGGATTATTTAGCAGCTGACCTGAGCTCAAATTTATTATCTTACCATCTTTGCCATCATCATCATCATTGCCAATATTTATAGAGTTCTCACTTTGTTCCAGATAGTGTGATAAGCACATATTAACTACTTTAATGATTTTAAGGATTAAAGTGGGTGCTATCATTCTAAAAATGGTAGTGGAGATGCCAGGAAGGATTAATTGAATGAAAGGTCACAAAATGACTAAGTGGTGAAACTGAAATTCATCATGTTTGAATGTGAAGTGTATGCATAAAAAACACTGAAGAATGGCCAGATAAATTGATCCAAAACATTTTGGGAAACCTTAAATATTTGAAATGACTAACTTTGTTAAAACTTTTATATTTAAAAATATCTGTATACTTACAGGAAGTTGCAAAAAGTTAACAGAGAGGTCTTGTGTACCCTTTACCCAGCTTTGTCTGATGGTAACATCTTATGCAATTATGGTGCAATGTCAAAACCAGGACTTTGACCTTGAACATTCCTACTAACTAAGCTCCGGACCTTATTCAGCTTGCACCGGTTTTACATTTACTTGTATGTGCATGAGTGTGTGTGTATGTGTGTCTATGTTGTATGCAATATGATAAAAATAATTATTTTTAAATCTCAAAGATTGACTATGCAATTTTAATATGTTCTAACTGAATTGAGAGCAGAAAAAGCTTTTCCATGGTATAAACTCAAAGTTAGTTAATATAACATGATCATTGAAAATGTTCTTATGCTGCCGTAAGAGAAATTCAATGCTGAGTGGTAACAGTTCTACTGTAGTACACATTATTTAGGCCTCAACTGGAAAACTATAGTCATTTATGCCAAAAGTGACAGGACAAACCAGAGGATTTGCAAGAAAAGTGGTTAAATGTTGAAGGGTGATAATCAAAGGTCTGAAATTCCTTTCATTCAAAGGAGGGATGAGAGAATAGGTACTGTTTTTCCCTGTGAAGCAATGAGGTAGACAGACATCAAGTCAGGCTGCTTGTCCAACTCTGTGTCTCACGTTTGTGCACAATGTTAGATAAACTAAACACCCACCCACCTTACCCAGCCTTACCTTTCTAAAGCCCTCTTTTCAGAAATTCTTCCATGACTCTTATAAACCCTTTTTGGATCTATATAGCATTTATCAAAAGACTCATGTAATTTAACCTAGTGATTTTCAAAGATCAATAAAACCTGGAAATTTCTTGGAAATGTAAAATCTTGGGCTCTACATCAGACTTACTAAATCTGAAACCCTAGGGATGGAGCTCAGCAATGGGTATTGTATAAGCCATCTGGTGAGCTGATATATGCTGATTCCAGTTCTACTGATCTAGCGCTTAAATTCTTGGGGCATTGGCATTTTAAATATGAGTATTCTCTCTCCTCAACTACTCTGACATTGTTGTGGACCTTACCTGTATATACTTTTGCCTCTCATGGCCGAAGAAAAGTTAACAATGCCTCACTCCCCAAGCAGCTTATTGGCTGGCTTCCCTATCAAAACTCAGGTCAGAAAGCACTGGAATGTCCTTGTAACCTCATCTGTCCTTCGCTATCTAAGAAGTCTGGGACTGAATGCTTCTAGCAGAAGCTGTCTAGTTTCCAGAAAAGTATCATGTAGTCAGGGAGTATGTTTTAAGTAACTATTTCTAAGTGATGAGATACATGATCTCTTTAAGAAATTACTTTTAGGGACATCAGGGTGCATCTGAAATTAGTTAGAGGGAAAATCCTTGTCTCCCTTCCCTTTCCTGGGCTGTAGCCCTAAGGGCCAGGCATCAAGGAGTAGGTGTTTTCTCACATACTGATTCCAGATTTCCTGAATGGGTAACTTGCTTCTACCCTGGCTGAAAGAGAAAGGGCAGTGGTTCTCAATCATTTTGCTCCTGGGAATCATCTAGAAATGTGTTTAAAATGTGCATGTTTTTTTTCTACAAAAATTCTGATTTAGTAGTAGACTGACTCTGGTACAGGAGGTCTCTAAATGACAGTTGAACAAATTACAAGAACAGCCACACTAGGAGTATTCAGCATAGCCTCATACCCCAGTGACATGCCAGAAAGCAGAGACGGCCATAAGTCATTTCCAATTCTTCCCAGGCAGTCACTAGTAATAATGCATGTGCTACCTCATAATATATATGAATATATATAACTCAATAGAATTCATTCATTCAAGAAATGTTATTACACATATTCTGAAACAAGTCCTATGCCAGGCAATGTGGTTCCTGGGGGAAAAAGAGGGACAATGACAATTCTCTCCAAGTGAGGGTCATTTTAAGTATACACTAAAAAAATCACATCACTTTTGGTTACTTCTTTTGGAAACAGGGTGAAGTAATATAAATTTTCTCAATTAGCTACAAAAATTTTGAATTTTATAAAACAAACAGCCATGTAAAAATGTGTGTAGGCACATATATTTGTTCAAAGATAAAGACTATGCATAGAAAAAAAAAGCTGTAGAATGCAACAAAGTTTTCATTTGGGTGATTTTGTAACTCCTGGTAATTTCTATTTTGTCTTTGCTGTTGTCTGTACATTCCAAATTATCTTTAATAAACAGGTATTATTTTTGCAATCAGAGAAAAAAATATTATTAGAAACAAAGCTAAAGCAATAAAAGAAAAACGAAGAGCATTCATATAAGGCAATTATGTAAAATATATTGAGTCAAAACACATTTATTAAGCATCTCCTCTATGGATACTGAAATTCCTAAAATTCCTAGAACTGTAACTCACAGATCTTCTACCTACTAGTTGTTCAATATTGGATAAGTTACTGTATCTTTGTGCCTCAGGTAGTTTCATCTGTAATGTGATCCAATTGCACCAGTTTTATTGTGGAAATGAAATGAATTGATGCATGTTAGAGGGTTAGAACAGAGTTTGAGCTTGATAAGTCCTTAGGAAATTTTAGCTATTACTTTATTTACTGTTATCTGAAGAATCACCATCTTATCCCATTTGTTAGTCACCAGCCTGCTCTACAACATAGAGACCAGGAGCTCCTAACTTTCTATGATAGACCTTTACATTACTGAACAGCTTTATTTATTGATAGGCTCTGCTTTATGCTGAATCAAATATGCTTCGTTGGGATTTCCCTCCATTGGACCTCTTTATTCCATTATACTGCAGACTACTCTAGTTCGTCTTTGGAGACTTCTCCTCTGCTTGGCAGCAGTTTTTCAAATGACATAACAACAACAACAAAAAAAGCAATAACACTTGCCTTATGCTTTTAAGGCTCTACCACATATATTATGTCATTTGAACCTCTTGATATATAGGAAAAATATTACCACCATCACCATTTTACAGGTCAATAATTCAAGCCTGGTGAAGTTATAGACTCATGTAAGATCACAGCTAGTAACTGCGGTGCTGAGAATTAAACACAGGAAGTAGAATACTTGCACACTGAAGGAATCTCCTATGTCTTCAATTGCATTATTTTACTATTGTAACTTGAATTTATTGTCAGTCAGAATCTGGCCAGGAAAATAAAAACAATTCTGCAACTTCCAAACACAGAAGCTATAATACAAGGAATTTGGTTACATATAGGATGGAAGACTTGAAAAGCCAAACAGGGGACACAGAGGCCACCAGGAAATTAACAAAACTAGGAACTCATTACAGCCCCTAGGACCCAGAATCAGAGACCAGCAGCCAGGACTACACAATAGAAGTTGGAAACTAAAACTTAGCATGGACTTCCCTGCCCATGGGAATGAAAGTTGTAAGATGCAGGAGAGGAGAATAAAAATGCTCTTAATCCTCTTCCCTTCCCCCCCACCCTCAGCCCTCAGCCAATTCCCTGCATTGGCTGAATAAAACTGAAAGCCAAGTCCTGAGAAAATTAGAAAATACAGTTACTGAACTACACAGCAAAGGCAGAGAAGAGTCAGAAATGGATCTAAGAACCAGCTGGTTGTTGGAGGCCCAATTCATGGTGATCATTTTGCCCTAATTCATACTGAACTCAAGATAGGCTCAGGTCATTTTTCCCACAAACTCTTTTTTGTTGTTGTTGTTGTTGTTGCTGTTTTCCCATTACTGAGGATCAAACCAAGGACCTTGCATATGTTGGTCAAGCATTCTACCATTGAACTATATATACTCAGACTTATTT